ATAATTTCGCCATTCGAGGTCGTGTGCGGCACAAGTCCCTTCTGACGTTGTTTATAAGGATCATCGTTCACGGTGTTCATCGCAACTTTTATCACAGGTTCGGGCTGAAACCAGTTCAACGGGACAGATCCGAAGCTGATCGATACTGCATTCGCACCCACTTTCTTCTCTTTAGGCTGCTTCATAGTGATGACTCCTACATTAATCAAAGCTTGTATCTTATCTTTGAGAGCATAACACGACTTGGTAGGGTGGTGAACCTCTCAGTGAAACGCGCAATACTTCGGGTCATTAACCCTTTTGGCGTCTTCTTGATCTTGGACTGGAGGCAATTTAATCTTGTTGTTCTCTACAAGATATTTAAAAATACCGGGAACTTCATCTTCCTTGAATGAATAGATCTTTGGGAATTTCGGTTCCGAAGCCTTCTGTTTCTGAGGCTGTTGTTGCCACCGTGATTGTTGAGGCGCCTTCTGCTGTTGTTGCTGCGGTTGCGCTTCCACCTCAAATGTTTGGTTCGCATCAACTGCATTCACTTGCGCTTTCCCTTTACCCTTAGGAACAAAATTCTGTTGTGGAGCTGGTGCCGTCGTTTGACCTCTTTCGGCCTTTTTCCTTTTGAGGAAACGTTCGGCTCTTTCCCCTCGGACTTTCAAATCTTTCCAGGTCTTAGACGGTGCCATTCCCATGGCTTCGAGAATATCCAACGAAAGGTTGTTGTGACAAGTCTTCAATATGAAGTCTTCACTAATCGGATCCCTACAATTCATGGCTTTGTTCCGGAACCGTTTAATGAAATTCTCCACCAACTCTCCGTCCTTTTGCTTCTCATCAAATAATGTTCCAATCGAGACCTCAGTGTCGTCGTCGAAGAAATTTGTGAGAAACATGTCTTCCATGTCATCCCAACTGCTAATGCTCCCCGGCTTGAGGCGACGATACCAATCGAAGGCTGCTCCGCGGTCCATGTCATCCCAACTGCTAATGCTCCCCGGCTTGAGGCGACGATACCAATCGAAGGCTGCTCCGCGGAGAGTGCCGACGAATGACCGTACCATTAGAGGTTCATTCCCGGAGATTATTCCCAAGTGAGATTTGAAATATATTAAGTGCTGGGTAGGGGAACCCTTTCCATCAAATGGCGTGAAATTGATCAAATTAAACTTCGCCGGATATGGGATTGACTCCCACTCTCTTGGGTATGGACATGGTATCCCGGATCTCTTTACTTCTTGAGCGTTCATCAATGCATTGATTTTGCTTTCCAAGTCCCTCATTTTTTTATCCTCACTCGTATCTGTCTTCCAGTGAGTTCGAGGAGAAGTAACGTGATCCTCCTTTGTGTTATTATCATCCAAGGGGCCATTCCCATTATTGTTATTGACAGGAGGAGCGTTCATGTTAGCATTTTCATCCACTTCCCGCTTATTATCATCTTGGTTCGGATTATTGCGACGACTAGACTCCCCTTGATGAGTTGTTAGTGCCGCGATTTGCTGGTCATGCATTTTTCTCATCTGTTGCATGGCCATTTCCATTTCAAACTTGAAATTTTCCTTCTGCTTTGTCAAAGCGTCATCGAGCAACTTAGCCACTTGTTCGGCGCTGATCATAAGTGACTCGTAGGGTTGTCCCGCACTAGATGCCGTGTCATCGGATGCTATAGCTGAACAGGCATCTGAACCAGCATCTGACACCTCATCTTCCGAAGGAAGTCCTTTTTGGATCCTTTGGTAATTCTTTCGCCTACTGGTCCATGATCGCAATCGAGTCATACGCTGGGATACCTCAGCAAATTGATCTGCACTAAAGCGCCGTGTCGATTTACCTCTCCCGGTCATGTTAACAGATACTTCAGGAAATTCGTCATCTTAGAGAGTAGCTCTCTTCTTTCGGAAACGTCTTGGTCTGGATTCAGACGTTTTGGTGGAGATTCTTTCAAATACCGAAACTCTCTCCGGGGTGGTCTTGGAACAGCAACATTCTGACAACACTGCCTTGATGATTTTGGCACACGGACAGCGAGAATCTGTGTTCCGGGTACTCATTTTCCTGGATTCGTTCGCACCTCCAGCTTGATAGTACAACTCGTCAGTTTGATGACTGGAGCAACCCATCATGTGTTGGCACGACTTCCCAGGTATAACGTCTTCGTCTGACGAGTACGTTTTCTTCTGGGGATATGACGCTTCGTTAGCATTTTCAGGAGTCGCATGTCTGAGGCGACGTTTTTGTGAATGTCGGCCCTCAACGGGCTCCTGAATTTCAACACGCAATCCAATGCGGTCGTTTGTAGGACTTTTCCCGTTATACATTCTCCTCCACTGCTTAGGATGACGACCTCCAGCCTGACAATGTGCTCGAGATTCATTCAATCGGCCTAAGCGCTCTTTGACCGGAGCTTTGCCTCGATCATCGGGTGAAGGGCCAAGGCGATCTTTGATGGTCATCTTAAAATGGGACAAATCCACACTGTCATGAATCTCAACCGGAGGTGCGGAACTTGATGGAATTGAAGAAATAGGCACAGGACATCTCCTGCTTTGAATCTGTTGCTGATCAGACTTGGGTGACCCGCAAGTTGGAAGGTCGGATTGGAGTGACCCGTGTTTTGGCGGGTCGGATTAAAGTGACCTGCGATTCGGCGGGTCGGATTGAAGTGACCCGCGATTTGGCGGGTCGGACTGAAGTGACCTGCGTTTCTGCGGGTCGGATTGAAGTGACCTGCGTTTCGGCGGGTCAGATTGAAGTGACCCGCGATTTGGCGGGTCGGACTGAAGTGACCTGCGTTTCCGCGGGTCGGATTGAAGTGACCTGCACTTCTGCGGGTCGGATTGAAGTGACCTGCACTTCTGCGGGTCGGATTGAAGTGACCTGCGTTTCTGCGGGTCGATTGAAGTGACCCACGTTTTTCTATCTTTTTGGCCGCCGTCTTAGACTTTGGCCTCCATACCTGGTGCAATCTTTGTGGCTTATTTTCCACTCCTTCTTTCTCTAATTTCTTGGCTTCTTGCATAAGAATTTTTGCTTGTGCAAGCAACGCGCGGCGTTTGTGAATCCGCTCTTGCCATTCGTTCTTCACTGGTTTAAAAGAGGAGGGGCTGTCCACTCTCTGTTGTGGTGGTTGGCGCCTTCTACTTTTCAGATCCGCCTCATAGTGGATTCCATCCACTGGTTCCAAGGCTTTGGCCAGTTGGCGTGCGAGGCGTTGGCGTCGCCTCTGACGTGCTCTCTTCGAAAGAGTTGGCACATCATCAACAGTCGACCCCTTGCTCAAGGGGTTCAGATCTGTAGTTTTAGCCTCGTCGGATGCCGACGGGGCGTTGTGAGCCGCGAGTGCAGCGGTGGCGGGAAGATCTTCTTCTTGGGCTTCTGCAGCTGAAGTCCAACGGGTCTTCCTGGAGTAAGCCTTCCTGCATCCGCGAGGAGAGGCCGATCTGGAGGAGGAGGACAAGTATTCCTCGTACTTCTGCTGGTCGAACTCATATTCGACCTCCGCTTCAACCGGGATCGGGATCCGAGGTTGCGACACGTCAGCCTTCGCAGAAAGGCTGTCGGCTCCCACTGTGGTCGCCAGTTTGTTTTCGTCGAAAGCTGCATTCATCATTGATTTCATTAAACTTTAATCGTTACAAATGAATTCGAATAACAAAGAAATAAAAGATTACAACTCTCTTGAAAATAAACACAAGATCCGTTTATCGGCCCTTGCTTGCGTGGGTTCTTTGCCGGTGTCGGGGTTTATCCGTGGACCGCCTTAGATCTGGATCTGGTTGATGAAAATTCGGCAGAGCTTCGCCTTCACCGAGGGAGTTTTCTGATTTTGAAGCACTGAGATCGACAAAGCGAAATCAGGGCTCTTCTCGAGATTAAGACCAAGCCGAATCTCAAGGGACGGACGTACGGGCTTCAGATCCTTCGAATGGCTTCTCCTTTGCTCCGAAGTTCGCCGGGATCTCGTTGTCCTTCGCTGAAATTTCGTGCTCCTTCACTCTTCAATCCAGCAGCACCTCGTCCTCTTGATAAAATTCCAGCCCTCGAAAATGGAGGCCCTTGGCTCATATTTATAGGCATTGGATGCGGTTATTTTGGATGAGGGCAAGTGATTTGGCTCTATCTTCAGTTGACAACAGCCTAATCACGTTTGAGGATGATCTCCATTCAGTTAAGAACCCCTGGAACAGATGAATCCTGCGAAAAAACCAATTTAAAACCGTCAAAACGTGTTTTGGAACATTAGACTACGCGGCAGAACGATCTGACCCGCGCTCGCGCGGGTCGGATTGATCCGACCCACGCTTGCGCGGGTCACGCGGCAGAACGATCTGACCCGCGCTCGCGCGGGTCGGATTGATCCGACCCACGCTTGCGCGGGTCGGATTGATCCGTCCCGCGCTTGCGCGGGTCGGATCATCCCGTCCTGCGCTTAGCGCGGGTTCGCCGACTTTTTCCCTCTTTTGTTTTATTTCTTCCGGGACTTGTTCTTGTCGCGTATTTGGTTCGCTTCGTTGGCTCGCATGCTTCGTTGGCTTGTGTGCTTCGCCGTAAGACCGATCGTCGAACGCGCGTTGGTTAATATACGCATGCTGATCGATGCGCGCGGGCTGATTGACGTGTGCGCGTTGACCGGCGATCTTGAGGTGGTTTGACGTGCGCGCGCACGAGATGACTTGACGTACGCGCGCTGACCAGCGCGCACGAGTTGGTTGACGTGCGCGCGTTGACTGGCACGCACGAGTTGGTTGACGTGCGCGCGTTGACCGGCGTGAACGAACTGATTGACGTGCGCGCGTTGACCGGCGCGCACGAACTGATTGACGTGCGCGAGCTGATTAGGCGAATATTTTTTGACTCGTCCATTCATTGCTTCGAGTTTCATGTGGGCTCTTGTAGACAATTTTAGACGCCTACACTAATAGTGGACTACTGAATGAGAAGAGTGACATCTATAGCTTTGGGGTTGTGCTGTTGGAGGCCATTAACTAATAGTGGACTACTGAATGAGAAGAGTGACATCTATAGCTTTGGGGTTGTGCTGTTGGAGGCCATTACTGGGAGAGATCCTGTGGACTATAGCGAGTGACATCTATAGCTTTGGGGTTGTGCTGTTGGAGGCCATTACTGGGAGAGATCCTGTGGACTATAGCCGTCCTGCAAATGAGGTAAGAAAACGAACAACTTACTGATTTGGAGAGCATATTTATTTGTACAGCTCAGCAAGCTTAGGTTCCCTTTCTCTTGTCCCTTAATTACTAATAAAATGTCCAATAAGAATAGATATGTTATCGGTCATTTTTCTGCTTCCGTCTAGAAACTTCTCTACAACCTTAGGAAGCTTTTAGATTTCACCCAATTCGTGGCATGAAAATTTCCTTGTCTCTAAGGTATAAATTTGTATTCCCTCCTATCGGGACTATTAGGTTTGATTTTTCATTTGAGTCAATTCTCATCTCTAGGGCTGTTGGTTGTTCGTTTGTGTTGGTGATTCTTTAAGATTCCATTACTGAAGTTGGTGCATAAAGTCAATTACAACTATCAAAAAGGTTAACCGTATATTTTTTAAGTCCACAATTGTGATTAGTTGAGCGCTAAATTAGAAGTGCTTTTACTAATTTGGTGTCTAATTTGACCTAAATACTTAGCTATTACCAATGATACATGCACAAAGTTGGCTCCCACATGGTCTAGATATTACGTACCGAGAAATTCGGACAGTACATTTCTCCACAAACTGTTGTACCCATTTCACTTGGCTCCTTTTAGATCTTTTGGCTTGCAACCATTTATCCAACTTATTGGACCATATTAGTTGTCTCTACGTATGATGTTTTAGTTGTTTGTTCCATTAATTTCACTTTCTTGATTGATATTTATATGTTGGTTGCAGGTTAATCTAGTTGATTGGCTTAAGGTGATGGTTGGCAGTCGGCGGTCAGAAGAAGTGGTTGATCCAAGCATAGTAACAAGACCATCCACTAGAGCTCTGAAGAGAGCATTGTTGACAGCTTTGAGATGTGTTGATCCTGATTCAGAGAAAAGACCGAAAATGAGTCAGGTTGTGCGCATGTTAGAATCTGATGAAGCAATACATCGTGAGGTACCATTTCTAATCCATCCTATCTTCTTCTTTTATATCTACTTCAAATTGGATCATATAGGGAATTTATTGGTTTATAAAGATTTGTGTTAAAATGACACTTATCAGGTGGTAGAATGACAATATCTGAGTAAAAGTCTTTAAGCTCATAAAACCTGTACATTAGGTCATGCTACTAAAAAATTTTAACCCCGATGATCATTGAGTTTAGAAAATTTTACTTTTTGCTCATCTTTTTTATCTCTTGGTGGCGTTTTAATCGTTCAATGAAGTCTGAAGAGAGCATAATGTTCACATTTTTAACTAAAAATGGCGATTGTTGTTTCCAGGATCGAAGGCATAGGCGGAATCGTAGTGGGAGTACAGAGATTGAATCCCAGAGACAGAATTCCGACACAGACAAAAGTGACAACCCTGATTCTAAGATGAACACCAGGAGAAAAAGACCTTGATGATAACCGAACTCGATCTTTCGGCAAGTCTTTCAGGTCTAATTCCTCACATTCTTTGGTTTGGACTGCTGCGTCGTTTTGTCTGCAACAGGCTCCTCTCCCTCTACTGAACCCGACGCTAGAGGATCGAGATCAATGGAAATAGGAATAGTCTTTGTATATTCTTTTTCATTCTCTTTGGAGAGTAAATTGTTTCAGTGTGTAACTAGGGTGTGAGACAGTGAGAAGATTGCTTAAAACAATATGTACAGGGCTCAGAGAGATGAGATTGCTTTGTGAATGGTTGCCATTGTTCATAGAAAGTCACTTGGCCTGTCTCATATTGAAATGATGGTATTTATTTTTTGCCCCCTGTTGCCAGAGGAAATGATACTATGAAAGCATCATTGGTTATAAAATGTAGAACCTGAGCCATAAGCTCTGGTGATTGAATTAAGGGTTTCAAATAGTAGGCATACTTTCTTTTTAACTCATCGGGACAAAATTTTGGACATGGCTGAACTTTATATCTGGTTCCCTTCCTTGTAACTTAACATATAGATTCCTAAGGATGACTAAAAAATTTAGTTATCCTATTGCATACAGTAAAGCAAATTGCCCGCATCTATAGAAAAATTTAAAATATTCAGATAAATCAAACCACATTACACTTGTTTAGACTAAAAGCATTGCCAGCATGATAAATCTACTAGTCCACAGGAAAGTGCAGTGTCCTCCGCATAAACAATTGCCTGTTGCAGGTTATAAAAGAACCAGACAAAATAGAACCAACAGTTGTTGTGCTCGACTCTTACAAAGCTTGATGTTTCTCATTCTCTCCTTCAACAATGAAGATTGCGACAGTCGACCATCCTACGTGGTGAAATCTCCATATACACGTCACACTTGCATAACACTATGGATGACATGAAAGAGAAGGAGCAGAAGACTTCAGTACGAGAACAATATCAACTGTACATATGAATTCAATTATCAACGTGATTTATAGTCACGCTACAGAAAACTTGAACATTTTATCATTGAGCAGACCAAGTTAAACTCACATATTGCAGCACTGATTATTACACAAACGCACTGTCATCAGAAAGGGTAAAAAAACAAAAGGAACGGGAGTTTCACTAGACAACTTCACATGGATAACTGTATATTAACAAGAAAACGAATATTTCAAGCATATTTAGGTTTTTGAATAATATATAAGCACCCAAGAATAGTGGTGCATACATCTACAGGAAGTCAGCAAACAAGCTCTCAAGCTGGGTTATGCTAAAAAGAGCGCTCAACAAGAATGAGGCTGAAGGAATTCACAATCCATGGTTTTCGCCAGGAGGACCAGATCGAGCATTGAGTAGAGGCTGGAGAGCTTTGACAACGATGCTCATGTTGGGTCGGAAATCAGCTTCATATTGCACACACAAAGCAGCTACTGCAGCCAACTGTTTAACATTTTATCATTGAGCAGACCAAGTTAAACTCACATATTGCAGCACTGATTATTACACAAACGCACTGTCATCAGAAAGGGTAAAAAAACAAAAGGAACGGGAGTTTCACTAGACAACTTCACATGGATAACTGTATATTAACAAGAAAACGAATATTTCAAGCATATTTAGGTTTTTGAATAATATATAAGCACCCAAGAATAGTGGTGCATACATCTACAGGAAGTCAGCAAACAAGCTCTCAAGCTGGGTTATGCTAAAAAGAGCGCTCAACAAGAATGAGGCTGAAGGAATTCACAATCCATGGTTTTCGCCAGGAGGACCAGATCGAGCATTGAGTAGAGGCTGGAGAGCTTTGACAACGATGCTCATGTTGGGTCGGAAATCAGCTTCATATTGCACACACAAAGCAGCTACTGCAGCCAACTGTTTCAAACAAAATGTAGGAGCAGTTAGAAGGAGGAAGACTGTTGAATTCATTGCTACAGCCAGAAAATATGCCAAAAAAGCTTCAGTCACATTAAGTGCAATCATTTTAAGCTTCAGGCAAAAGAGTGCTTAATTTCACAAACTAAAATAAGATGAATACCGGTTGAACTTGACAGACTCGATCTTAACTTGGACAAAGAATACAATTTGGCTGCCGTAAGTGGTGGGAAAACAATGACCGGAAACATAAGACTTCAACAGTTATTTGGAAGGCGACTTAATGGTTAACACTAACCTTGTCATCAACCAAGTTTCAAGGCTCAAATGTATCTCTTAAAGCAAGTGCTACCTAGGAATTTCATGACGTAAAACATGATGCCTTGTCAAGGTTACAACTAAAGAATATTACATGATAGGGAAGTTTTCGATTGCCTTCACACTATAGAAATGCCAAAACTGCAATTATAGAACTATCAATCGTCGAACCAAACCAAGACCAGAAAAGGTTTTGATTGCCTTCACTCTATAAAGGCCAGAACTGTGCCTTCACTCTATAAAGGCCAGAACTGAAACCGTAAAACTCTCTCTATCAGACCAATCTGAGGCCCAAATATAGCAAAAAAAACCTCATTAACTCTGACGAATATTACCACTAAGGTGGCTAAGTTGAAAACACCAAGTTGGGTGATAAGTTAAGAGCCCTGACTAAGCTTTTGTTAAGAAAAAGAATGGAGTATTGCCTAACAGATTTAAAGCCATGTAACCCAAAGGGTATTGGAGCCTTGGACCAACAAATTCAACCTGTACTCCTCTGATCCCACATAAATCAATCCTTTTCTCCTTTTGTCTTTGATTCTTTACCATTAGAAGTTCTTGTGAACCAGATTCTACAACCTCAATGATCTCTGTCACGTATTCATCAGGATACCAATGGAAACTCTGAACTTTTAAAGATCTCTGTGAGTGTGAGCTAAACCTTCTACAATCATCATGAATTTCTGAACTGTTATCTGAATTAACTGGAGAACCCACTCAGATAAAACTGCAATCCCACTTGCGTCCCAATATGGCTACTAACTGCGGCAGGACCCACTACAACATAAATGTGCATTCTCAATCAAGAGTAGGTCGCTCCATGCATAAGCTTAGTCATTATCAGCTTGAGAAAAGCCTTTTCCTTTTGGTAAATATTTGGCTAAAGGTTCAGAAGCCCATATAACCTGAAGAGGAAACCTCTGGAGTTTTAGGTCCAACAATGTTTACTAACCATCCATATATTTCATCTATTCCATATCATGTGGAATTTTTTTTCCTTCTCATTTTGCCTTCGAGAATTTACTGCCTTCTTAACATCAATGCTTGTAAGGCAGGTTCAAGTCACAACCTCAACAAGGACATGGTTGACTTCGTAATCTACCATGTCAGGAGGTCCTACAAAAATCCACAGTCATACCACAAAGCTTTGTGATGAACAACTATATAATTAACGTTAAATATTCACATCCACTTGTAGCAACAGGATATAAATAATAAGCTCAAACAAAAGGACAAACCAGCACCTCAATAAATAACGAGCTTCCGGGAAAGATAAGGATCTTCAAACCTTTCTCTAATCAATATTCCAGAAGCCTAAGATCTCCAGAAAGAGACAAAAATGAAGATGAATGCGAAGAAACATAAGATTCTATAGTAATGGGCTTATCAGGGTGCTGGCATCAACAGCATGCATCACACTTCTATAGAAAAGCTTGTTCTGCTAAATGTATTAATCAACCAGTATATTCTACTTCCAGAGAAGACACAGATATAAATAAAGGTGAGGAAGAAAAAAGTAGAAGGAAGCAGGTTTTCTTCGGCAATCTTCCACTTCCTATTGTTGCAAGAAGGGTCATATAATGAGGGAGGAATTCTTAAGAAGGTTACTTTTAAAGACAAATAGGAAGGAGACCATAGCCAAAAGGATCACTCAAAAATATGCTCTGATCATCATAAACCTCAATACTTTGTACACATATTGCAGTAACTTTGAAACACATGCTTGGAATACTTAACTATCCAGTGTTGTAGTACAGTAGGGAAAAAATTTCTCAGATTATATAGGCATCAAACAGACATTAAGATCAAGGTCGAAAACAGAAGGGCTAATGAAAAGAAACTCATTTATTTACCTTTGCAACGGCCTTGGGAGGGTACTCTCCACCCAACCTTGTATCAACGCATTGCCTTACCTTGTCTTCACTAAGCCTTGGTGTTGCCTGGTCACATAATGATATATGTGAAACTTGAGACACGCAAAAAAGAACCAATTAAAAGAATAAGACTGCAAAAAGTGTTTACCCATGTGACAAGACTCTGTTGGCCTCGTGGTAATGTATGATCCACAGGTTTACGGCCAGTCAAGAGCTCCAAAAGTACTACACCAAAGCTGTAAACATCACTCTTGGAACTAAGCTGCCCAGTCATTGCATACCTGCCGCCAATGATGATGAATTTGAAATCAAACTTATTCTAGGGGCTTAGAGGATTCTAACAACATAGTATAGCTGGACGAGAAATTCATTTCCAAGGAGCAAGAGATAAAGAAATTACTCTGGAGCATGATAACCAAAGGTTCCAAGAACACGAGTTGAATGAAGACGTGCTGCCATATCAGGAGCTTGATTTGACAGATCAAAATCAGCTATTTTAGCTACATCATCATCAAATAGTAGTACATTGCTGGACTTAATATCACGATGTATGATATGAGGTTGTGCTTTCTCGTGCAGATATTCAAGTCCTTTAGCAGCCCCTACAGCGATTTTCACTCTTTGTGCCCATGACAAAACTGGACCTGGCTGTGCCCCCTTCACGCCTTTCCGCCCTGTATCAAAAAGTTTTCATCATGCTGCTTGTGATAACTAGAGCATAGTTACACTGCTGTGGAAAAATATTATAAACCATTCTCCATCATGTTAATTATACCAGCCGATTAAAACTAGGAGCCACTTTTTCATGAAGTAGGGTAGGTACATCTTCTAAATGGACTTAGTATCTTCATCTGGAAAAAGGAAGAAAGACCTAGCATACATGTATGGACAACTATAGAATTTAAATCGAAGGACATTTAACTGAACTGAGTCCTGATTCTTTCTCTGTATTTCAATGTAGGTCAAAGGTACGGCAGAATGAACTAAATACAGCTGACAATGCCCCAAAGAATCATACAGGCAAATAACTAGCAACTGCAAGAGAGAAGTACATGATAATGATAATAATAAAGCTTAAAATTAAATGCCACAACCAGCATGCCACATTCATTAAAATTCTTATTCGCCAATGTCACTTCCTAGCACCATACCCCTATTGTCCTATCTCAAGTAGCAAATGGAATATAAACAAAAGAAACTTGCATGCCAGAAAACTACCGAAACACTTAAGCAAAGGGGCTCTGCATATGTTTTATCAAGCAGTTTCAATACTCGCCCTCAAAAGCGCAAAAAGAAACCAAAACCATAGATAAATAAATAAATGAATAACTGGCATCAGCTTTTGGGCCATGCGAGACAGCATCCAACTCACTTGGCAAAGGCATAACGAAGAAAGGTTAACTATACGTTTTCTTCTTGTTCTTCATTTTTTTTTTGGGAATTTTTTTGGAATTTTATTTTAATGTTACAGGATAACCTTAAGAAATCAACTGCTCCAAAACCAATTGAAAAAAAAAGTTTACAACTGCTTAATATAATGGGTAATGAATCATGGGCCAATGATGTAAGTCAAGTAATCTTAACACTTGAGAGCTGGCAAGAAGATTAGCTGAAGCACACTAAATACAATCAGTCTACATTTCCACAACCAAGGAATGATTTAAGGAAATAAAAGATAGATGAAGAGAGAATAAAAATGATCAGATAATTGGAATTATGCAATCAAAACATAAGTTATTCAAACGCATGGGTGCATCAAAATGTCACTGGTTTTATTACTTTAACTTCCAACAATTTTTGGGTAACTTCTACGCAAATTTCCATTTCTTATGGATACTCGTTTGCTAAATGTTGCCACGCTGAGTTAATGTTTCTCTTTAGTTGAACAATTGATAAAGAAACACTTTACCTTTTCAAATTGAGTCTGTAATTTAAATGGATGATATATGAGAAGAATGGAGACACCTTAAAGTAGCATATGCAGTAAAATGAATTAAGTTTTTAAATGAAGTTTAAAGGAACGTGAATTGCCAATGCAACAAAGCTTACTTCCAAAGTAAATTCAAAAGCTTTACAAAACCTATGATGTTTTAAGTGAACATTGTTTTCAGAGTTACCATGTTTTGCTTTCAAAAAATATGAACAGATATGAGTTTGTTAATTAGACGAATTTATCTGAATCACATCCTTTTCTGGATTACGCTGCTGGTATGTCTTCCATGCCTTCTGTCCATACAAGGACTATATTCACTTAATATATCTGAGCCAACAAATAGATTGCTGCTACCTTGGCAATGTACAGAACATTACCTATAAACTTATGCTACAGGGCAATCCTTCAGTAAACCCGTTGAGACTAAAAGAAACCCCTAGGACAAGTACCGATTAAGGATACAGAATGAAGCTCCTTGAATCTGCAACAACTTATAACCTTGTCTAATTGGGCCACTAACCTAAGCATATAGCTGATGGACATAGAGATGCTTTCTTTCATTCTTTTAAAAGTTTACAGAAAGTAATTTTCAACGGAAGAAATTCAAATGATGTAACTTACATATTTCAACATCATCTAATTTCATCAACTCCAATCAAGATCTATTCCATCCAAATGACAATTGATCATCAATAGAATAATGACTTACCATGTAAGATGTCATGAAGGGATCCCATAGTTGCAAACTCGTAAGCAAGAACACGGAGATTTCCATCAATAGAGTAACCCAGTAGCTCAACAACATTTTCATGTTTCAACCTCGATACCATGGACACCTGTAACTAGTTATATCAGGGACCCATGATCAGACTAATTCAGTAACGCATGTCAATGAAAGGGCTTCCTGACCTGTGCCCGAAATTCTTGGTCCGGTTGTTTGCTGGCGTCTAACTTTTTAATAGCTGTAGCTCTCCCGTTTTTTAGGATTCCGTAATACACTCTACCATACGAACCCTCTCCAATTAGAGCATTGGTTCCAAAGTTGTCTGTTATTTCTTTCAATTCTTCAACAGGAATAGCAGGAACTGCGATAGGCTGGACTTTGACAGGTTGAGCACCTTTGGGAGCAGATTCTGAGGCACGATAACCGTCGTTTCCTGTGTGACGGTTATTCAAAATCATGGCAACATGTTAGATTAGAGACTAAGAAAGCAAATGCACAAAATGAATGTTGAATGGAAAATGTATGCTCTTAAAGCCTCAAGTCAAACACAGAGGATAAAAGCATAAACTAAGGCTAAATCCTAAAAGAATGGGAAGCATAAGATCATGCAAACTGATAGGCGCCCAAGCCTGCCATTTTCCACAAAATTGAAACCAAAAGGGAGGGATGTTCTAAGCAGAGCTGTTATGTATATAAAAACCATGCCACCAACAAGTTCAAATACTACCTTGACCAATAAATTACTGAAAGTAAGAAGAAAATGGAACGTTCGACAATCTCAGAAGAAAGAGCCGACTGATTACAGGAACATTACAATACAAACTGAAAGATTGACCCTTTTGGTTGCTTGCTGGAATTGTTGAAGAAGTTCATCTTAAACATGTTTCATTTGTAATTTAGCACCAAAATTCTGTTCGATCCGACTAACCCCGTTTTCTAATGGCAGGCCAACGTGACAGCCAATAGTATGAAAGTTAAATCTAATCTAGCTTAAGAGAAGCAAGAACCAACCCGTTGCATGGTGTGCAGTGAAAGGCCTTCCCGCATCAGTAGCTTGGTGAAAGTCTTCTTCTCCGCAGCATCCAAAACACGCCATAAATCCAATTAAGGAAGTCTTCCCCAAAGACAGCAACTTTGCTACTTTATAACCAAGAAAGTGATGCTGGAGGAGGAAAAAAACACATACGAGTCGCTGACAACAGTACGGGAAAAAACTCACGGTAGACAAATACAAGTTTTACATCATAATTAGAATCTCTGACAAAGATAAGACTAGCAAAAAAAACATGCTTTTTCAAACGGACAGTAAAAAAACACTTGATTTTGAATTGAAAATTAAAGTAGGGAAAAGAAAAATCGAGACCACAAGTACTGTCCCGGAGTAGTTTTATTTTGATGCTATAATTTATGAAAACCAATAAGAATTTGAAAAAAAAATCACGACCTTTTATTAGATAAGAG